GGGTTTTCAGAGGCAGTTAGTCACATGGAAGGAGATTGCTCATCCTTCTCCCGTGTTGCAGCTGGGGGATTTTAATCACCTGCCTTCAGGATTGCAGTTCAGTTCCTTGGCAATACATAGTAGTTCCCCAGTAAATAAATTTATGGTTGTATCAATTAATGGCTCCTATTAAGTCTTTATGCTTTTCTACATACAACACAAAGGCTTAATGGGACCTGCTACTTGATAGAACTAAAAAGATATGTACTGTGGAACTGCCAGTTGACTCAATGGCACATAACACAATGGTAACAACACTGACCACTGGGTGAATTTGATATAGATTATAGTAGTACAATTCGGGGCCAAATGAACTTTAGGGAATTCAACTACATAGACAATGGGCTAGCCAATAGGGTAACCTGGGGATGCAAAGGAGGTGGAGAAGCTGGACTGAATGTAGACTATACAAGAGTACAGACCGTAATATTTTATTGAGATCGATTACTACATCCCAGCTCAAGTGCAATGTGAGAGATTCTATCCTGGAGAATCAAGCTGGAGCAGGATTTGAAAGGCACAAACATCATTTGACAGCCACTGCTCTAACAACAACACTAACCATACAAGTCTGTGGATGCATAGATTCTAAGGGTTTGTGCTGCTTAACCAGAGGTACCGCATCTCTGACAGTTTTAATTTAACAGAGCCTCTTTGGAAGATATTTGAACAATCTCTTTCCATGCAATTTACAGGTTTTATAATTCCCTAGAGGATCAGCTGTGAGTTGATGTCAAGTTCACAGCAATAACTTAGATTGTGACTCTAACAATGAGCCCAAGCATAGCAGCAATGTTGAAGATTGAACAGGGCCAGGCTGTGTTGCCTTCTACTGTACCTAGGGTCACTATGAGCACAAATTCAACAATACCCAACACCAGGGGTACTCTAACCCTAACCATCTCTCAGCTATCCTTTTCTGGCATGGAGTAAGCCTGGTGGCCTAGTGAGTCAGAATTTGAGCTCTCAATTCCCAGGCACTGAGTTTGAATTCACCAGCTGCATCAAAAGAGAAAATTGGAAAATATTCTCCTTTGTGATTTACAGTCTCTGAAACTTGAGTTTTCAATATGAATTTTTTTCTTTCTCATAGAAATTGTAGTATTGTTCCCAGGAAAGAGATAAGGGATTTTAATGACTTACCTTCATACCTTCTTCCAACTTCCTCTCTAAGAATTATCTGCTTTTCAGTTGCTAAGGAGTAATTAGGAGGGAGGCTAACAACCACTAAGGCTTTAAATGGTGGTAATCTGGCTGTCACTTAACTGAAACCAGAGAGACTAAATAACAAGTTAGTGATAGCCCAATAACTACTAAGACATCTAGTTATCCTTCCAGTATGAGATTGCTTACTCTGGGTTTGATATGGAAGTTGGTATCCAGAGAGTTCCTTGGTTAGAGGTAGATAATTCCTTACCAGCACTGGGCAGAAGGTTATGAAGTACAGGGGATTTGGTGAACTTGGTTCTGGTCTCTGGGATGTAGAAGTTCACTTACCTGCTATAGTCCCAGCTGGCAGGAGAACAGCTAATAGGATTAAGAGTGGCTGCTTCTTCTGAAGAAGGCTTCCCAGAGTAGCTCTTACTGTGTCTAAACACAAAATATCCACAGTGCAATGAAGAGGCTCAGACCCAGTTACTTTATATTACACACATATATCTGTGTTCTGCTTGTTTGGTTGGGTGTCATCATGCAAATAGGTTTTCTGAATTTTTCAGGTTTGGATTAGGTGAGACAGAAATCTGCCACCACATTTATACTTATGGTTGCTGAGTGCCAGGCAGAAAGTAAAAATAGAGAACAAGAAAGTATAAAACCAAGGAATATAAACTCTATCAGAAAAAAGCATGGAAGAACTCTAGAAGCCCTAATTTACAATATGAGCAATCTTTCAAACATCTTGGAGACATACAACCAGGAGATAATAATATAAATCAATGGGACCATTTAAGAAGCAAATCCTTCTGCACATCAAAAAACTTCTCCAACAGGGTAAAAAGGAAACCCACAGACCGGGAAAAAATATTTGGTAAGCACATATCTGATAAGGGACTCACACATAAAATTTATAGAATGCTCCAGCTCCTGGACAAGAAACAGTAAGTGCCCCAACTGCAAAATGGGCACAGAACATTAATAACCTTTCACCAAAGAAGGCCTTCAGATGATAAACAGGCACATGAAGAAATGTTCAAACCCCCTAGCTGTCAGAGAGCTGCAAGTAAAAACAACTGTGAGATACCATCTCACCCTAGCAACAATAGCAAAATTCCACAGAGCAGGAAAACCAAATGCTGGCTAGGTTGTTGAGAGACTTATTCACTCCTGGTGGAAGTGTAAAATGGCCTGAAGACTGTGGGAGGAAATAGAACACTTTCTTAAAAATTTGGAAAAAGAAATACAATTTGATCCAGCATTTCTACTACTAGAAATATACCCCAAAGAAACCAGAGCTATTACTCAAACAGATATATGCACACCCTTGTTTATTGCTGCATTATTCACAAAAGCAAAGAGATGGAAGCAACCCAAGTGCCCATGAAAAAAATGAATGAACAGAGTAATAATGGTATAGCCACACAATGGAATACTATACATCCCTGAAAACAGAAACTAATAAAATAATACACAACATAGATGGTCCTCAAGGACATTATTCTGAGTAAAATATCTCAGTCAAAAATGACCAAAACTGTATAATTCTAGTTTTATAAAACAGGACTGAAATAAGGTTTAGGACGAAACTAAGAGGGGATAAATAATCAACACTACATTGAAACAGATGAAGGAAGGAACTGTTTAAAAGAAATACATGATTAGGCACTGTCTGTATGACAACAGTCCAGAATAAGAGGTACGTAGCAAAGTGGACTGGGTTGGGTGAAGGAGTAGACAAAAGTGAGGAAATGATGCAATAATGAATGATTTTTTTTAAAAGGGAACAGGGGGTATAGAGAGGAAAATGAGAAACAATGAATGAATGAAAATATAACTTTTTTGTAAACTCTCTTCAAAAATCACAATTTAGAAAAAGAAAAAAGAGACCTTATTTAATAAAAATGGTATGAGAAAGCAAAGGCTGCTGAGAGAGTAATAATGGCCTTTATTGTTGCTTGGCTTCATGGTCAACACTCTTGGCACCAGTAGCCAGGAAATAAAAAAACGTATTGCAAAGGGAAAGTCCACTCTTAGAGACTTCTCCAGGGTACTGAAGATCAATGGTGTCACTCTGGAGACAAAGGTGTGTCTGATACAGGCTATGGTCTTTGTAATCACTTGTTATGCATCAGAGAG